GTCTTTATAGGCTGGATTTACTTATTGGCGTCTTTAGGGGATCAACTTTCCGTATGATGTCCTTTTGAGTAAACTTGGTTAAGACCTTTTTATTAGATCACTCTGCTGAAAGGCGTTTTTATTTAGTCAACTTATTGACGTCTTTATTTAGTCAACTTATTGACGTCTTTATTTTGTCAACGTATTGACGTCTTTATTCAGTCGACGAATTGACGTCTTTATTCAGTCAACGTATTGACGTCTCTATTTAGTCAAATTTTTGACGTCTTTATTATTAAATCAACTTAGATATGTGACGTGTCCATTTAGAGAAATATGAAAATTTTACACAAGCCACTAACATGTAATCTACGAATGTTGCCCCCCCCCCTGTATACTGCCTGTGTAGTTACAGCAGAAGCTATGTTAGGTTTGACCCACAATCATTGTGTCGGCCCACGTCATCAACACACTTGCCAACCCAGCAGCCCATCTTTCTACATCACTTGTGTTTTTTTTTAATAGGAAATAATTCACCGCACACATGCTTCTGATTTCTGCAAGCCAAGTGTAAACGCCGTGTCTTGTAGGCGAGCACATCCTTCACGTGCGGTGCCAAACGTCTCGCTACTCACCATGAACCCAGGGCTGTGGGAAACATGTACTCACATTCTACAACACATTTATTTCTCAGCGTTTTTTTTTTACACGATATGTTTTGATTTTAAAAAGTACGTTTTTGTTAGTTGTCTTGTACAAGATATGCCACTTTACCAGTGACCTTCATGTGACGTCATGTGTCACACCCCCCCTGTATCAGACACTATTTGACGTCACACTTTGCATCACTCCTCCGCTAAGACGTCACGTCACAGAAAGGGAATAGAGATGGCACGCAAACAATAGCGATGTCATGAATTTAACCTCACGCATCTTTACCAACAAGCAACAGTTAAACAATCTCTCATTGAAGATTTCACCACGCCGCTTCTGTAAACATAATTATCCGACCAAATTATGTTTTTGTTGTAAGCTGCAACGTAGCAGTCATGATGTTGCAGTGGGCCGTACTTACACCAGATGATGTTGAGGGCCGCACAGTGCATCACGTGATGCTGTTGGGGGCCGGACAATGCATCACGTGATAATGGCCGCATCATGCAGATCAGGGACATCATATGTACAAATTTCTCAATTTTTATTTGATAGACCCCAAAGTCGCCATTGTTCATATTACAAAATTCCTCAATTTTTATTTGATAGACCCCCATAGTCGTCAATGGTCACATTTTTGTCTAACTGATGTTATTTTCCAACAATTACCCAACACATTCGGTATTTATGACGTATTAAACCATGTGACGTAAATGATTGTTTGATTTATTTTGGACGATCCACACACAAAATTTCCTGCCCTACCTACAAGCAGTGTTTCTTCCAGACTTTTTTCTTCGGGGGGGGGGGGGGGGGGGGGGGGGGCTCTTGATATATTCGGGGTGGGGGGGGGGGGGGTGGGGCGGTCTACATTTTTCGGGGGGGGGGGGGCGGACACTAGTAAAAGTATATGTTTACTATATAAATTCCATCTCGTTCGGGGTGGGGAAGAGATGCCTGGAAGAAACTCTGCCTTCAGCACTGGGTCACAAACAGCGCTGGTAGTTGTACAAAGGTTACATATAGCACAAAACACAAGACGTTATCGTGATTTCAATTGACTTTATTGACATTCGACTAAGACGGACCTTTACAGCATAAAAACACTAGCAATAAACAGATTTAAACGATTGGATGGCCTCTAGTCAACGACACAACACACATGACAGCACACTACATGTCTGGTAAATCTAGGTCAAGGTCTATTGTCATTTTTGGCGGGGACCTAGGTGAACTTTGCATGTATGTACCTAATATAAGAACACAATGTTTGTCACAAATATGACAGCTCGAGACAGAAGTGAGCAGTTAAAGACTGTGAAGGCAGTTGCTAAAAAAACTATTGGGTTATCATCTAGTTCACACAATTAACTGCAGTATGTAGCTCACTAGGCCAAAAAGTATGTAGGTATTTGTTTTGACTCCTCTGTTCTTCACAAATATGTACTGGGGAAATCCCAGAGCTATACAATATGTGGGGATCTTATTTCAGTGTTTGGTAATGCTAAAATATCATCTTCTTTAAAAAGCTGGTTTGAATTACTGATAGTTTACTAAATAAGAAAAACTACTTGCTGAAGTCAACGCCTACCTTATCCCTAAGCAAAGCCTATCTTAAGTAAAGTTACCATTTTGAACTTGACAGTCGATGGGGCCCTAAGCCTGTTTCTGTGACCCCGACAGTGTGGTCAGTACTATACCCAGCCGCCTTTAGTTCCCATAACGTGAGTTAGGTGCACATCAGAGCTGGGTGGACTCAGTGACGTCCTGCTGGATTTGAACTCCAGACTTACGGTTTGCCAGTCTAGCTCTACTGCTAGGCCAAGCCGCCCCCTAAATCCCATAACATTTTACCAAAGATAACAATCTGAAACTTATTTTTGGAAGTCTATTGTTGGACATCTGTAAATTCAATACTCCTTACAATGTACTCTTTATAAATGTACCCCCACCCCAATATTCGTTTATATTTGTACCACTCCCTCCCCAACTCTCAATATCACTACATTTAAAAAAAACAGGTATCCATTAGTGGCTAGGATTATCTAGCTAAATCCGGATTTTATAATCCATGAAACGTGTTAAGGCTACGGATCAATATACATCTGAAGTAGTTAAATCAATGCAGGCATTTAACTGGCTTTAGTTTCCACGTGTAACTACGGCTGTTGACTAGGGAGAGATGGCTAAAAGTTAAGTCTTCAACTGCCTACTGTTGCCCACAACTATTGTCCTTATAGTGTTTGTCCAGGTCTACATAAGCTCGTGCAACTATTTAAACATCGAGTAACAACCAACAAACAAAATTCAACAGTTAATAAAGGGACTTAAGGCTTAAAATATTGAGGAAGCTCAACCTTGGTTACCTCCCGCCGAGAGATGACGTCATATGTACACACACGGCGATGATTAGCAAGGCAAACAACACATGAGAGGGGAGAAGAAAAAAATGTACACACTTGGTCAAAAAACATTTTATTCCTTAATCAAACTATGCATTCATGGTTTTATGGTATATCTACTAGAAGAACGGCTTGCTTAAAAACCTGATTCGGTCACTATTCATTTTTTTTATCATATAGAATCTAGATCTAGGCCTATATTTTAAAATATATTTGTTTTCAGATTTCATATACAAAAATCCCTGAAAAAATCTCTTCTCATTTAACCCTTTTTAGCAGTTATAAAGCCCAGAATTTTTTGGCTACACATCAATGGTTACCTCACTGCAATACATAGAGCATTGAGGGTTAATTACATTCTGAAACAAGCTGTAATAATTCATTGCATTATGGGACTATTTGAGTTGCTTTTACAATAATTGTTCCGAGGTTATAACATTCAAGTTTTTAGTCTAGCTCAATGATATATGGGTGACATGACATGTAATTTGAAAGTAAAACCAAAAGCAGTTTAGGTATCATCTTTAAACACTGAAGTTTAAGACTAAATTTTGTAACTTTTAGTTTCAAGTGTAAAATATTAGTCTGCAGTACAAATGAAACAGCACTACAATCTGACTTAACTATCAACAATTTTCTGAACTTTTACCTACATTTTTTAACAGTTGTACAAAACACAAACCTTAGTAAAACAGATAAAATTTCTGTGTTATGTGTTATAAATATGTTAGAGATGAGTACATGAGGTGATGGATGGTTACACAGGTACAATTGAACAAGTTAGTAGATTCAAATTAAATGATAGAAAGGATATTAATAAATTACAAATTCATCTTTTTATCAAACTGTTGACAGGTATTAAAAAAAAAATTAAATACAGCGTAAATATGTAAATATTGATGTAAACAAAGTAAATATGAATCAACCAACAAAACCTGACAGACATGACCCAGTCCACAAACTGACTAGCTCAAGTGATAGTTGTACAGCACCTCACAGCGCAGGACCAGGTTCAAACCCCAACCAGACTAACACACAGCTACAGACTGACCACAACAACAGCTACAAACTGACCACTGGATATGTCAAGTAGATACATGGAAAACATTAAACTGACCACCGTTCATTCATTATTTTAATTTAAAGGGAATAAAAAATTTTGAGCCGTGAGCTCCAGAATTGAATGCAATCCACATTTGTTGAGGGACAAGTTTGCCCCATTTGTTGTTTGACAAGTTTGCCACATTTGTTGTGGAACAAGTTTGCCACATTTGTTGTGGGACAAGTTTGCCACATTTGTTGTGGGACAAGTTTGCCACAAAGGGCAGATTGAGGCATGAGGTTGATTGGTGAAAATGCTGAAAAAATGTTAAACCTGGTTTAGCACATGTCAAGTTAACCAAAGATCTGTTGAACATTAGATTGTGAACACAACAAAAAAATATAAAGCTTCATCCACACATTTACTCCACTTCATGAAGGCTGTTTGGTGAAGCCTTCAATAATGTCTCAAACAATTTGCTTTCACACCGAATGGTAAAGTTTATACAAAATCAAACAAGCTGACCGTCATACTGACCATCAACCATCTTCCGCCAGTAGTCAGAGACCCCAGAAATTCCAGCAACCTGGTCCGTCACATGCAAATGATTCCAATCCTAAATTTTGCTGCCGATGTTCACAGCATTTCATTCCATCAACTTTTACAGACACTAAATTAGTACATCAACATCTGCAGACACTAAATTAGTACATCAACTTAATCGGGGAAAAAACTAATTTTTTAGACTCAACTTTTCCTAGACAACTTAATTAGTATTCAGTTGTTAGACAGCTTTAATTAGTATATACTTACTAGACATGTTGGGAGTTTTTAATTATTAAATACACAATATTAGTTCTTGACGCAATCTTTATAATTCAGTTAAAATTACATTAACCTAATACAATAAATATTGTATAACATAATGAAGACATCAGGTTTATAAATTAGCTGTTGTAATCATACGGCATAAAAAATATGTACTAAACAAGAACAAATGACATGTTCATTAGCAAAAAAAAAACTTTTGGTAAACACAGTTCAATATGTTGAATGGAATGAAACAATGTCAGTCAATATTTCGTCTGTTCACCATTGAATTATGAAGGAACAGCAACATTATGACAGTAAAGTTTCCAAGCAAAGTAAATATGACAGTAAAGTTTCCAAATAAAGTAAATAATATCAAATTATAGGTAAAGAAAGCCACATCCAAAAAAAAAAAAAAACCACACTCAGCATTAATAACTGCCACATCCACCATTTGTGGAAACCACACTCAGCCGCATCTTAAAACCACATTCATCCACACATGGCAACCACATCTAGCGCCTAATGAAAAAAAACCACTTTCAATCACATGACAACCGTATGGCAATCCATCTCCGACAGGCGTGGGTAAATGTTAAGCTTATCCGTCAGTGTATGGATAAGTGTAGCAATTATCCACAGGATACAGTAGGATGGCTGTCTGTAAAACTCAGACCAGAGCATAGTCTGACCAGTGGAAAAAAACAGAAAATCTTTTCCTATCAGCGGCACAAACAAGAGGAAGGTGTCAGCTGAGCTGGTCAGTGTCCAGGGGTGTTAACTTTTTATTCTAGAACTCTCAAACACACATCTAGGGCAGGATCTGAGGGGGCTGAGTAAACTGCTGGTGGGTGGGCCGCGGCTGCTTACTGTTGGTCGACGTCTGGACTGGGGGGTGTGGGGGCTCGTACGGCATCTCCGTTATACCATCCCCATTCTGTGCACTGTCTGTGACGTAGATGTTCCTTTGGTTGTTGTAGCGCTCTGGACTTTCACTCGGACCTCGGTGATATTCTGGGGGCGGGGCCGGACTTCCCTCGACCAGTAAAGGTTTGTTGACGTCGCTGGGCTTGTCCTCCAGCTCGTCGGGGAATATGACAGGTGCGCCTTTGTTGATGAAGGTGTTCTGCTCCTCCACGTTCATCTTGCCCTTGCGCTTCTTGCGGTACAGGCAGCAAGCGATCAGCAGTGCAATCAGCAAGATGGCCACAATGACCACGGCAGGCACCACGGTGGTGATCCAAACGTCATCGTCTCCGCCCGCGGATCCTTTAGCCACAGCGTCAGTTGTGTCGTCAGGTTTATCGCTGGTTTTTGCTGTGGTTGATTTGGAATCATCCATCCCAGGATCCTGTTCGTCATCATCCGGCTTCATGCTTGGATCTACTGGTGCAATGGGCTCCTCTGGTTCTGCCACCACTTTATCCATTTTTGCACTGCATGTTTTTTTGGGCTCAAAGGTCAGCTGTTTGAGAGCATAGGGCCGAAGTGTTTCAACAGCATGGGCAGTGATCTTTTGATCATCCACAACATTTTTAAGAAGATCTTTGAGCTTGTCAGCCTGACAGGGTTGGTATGCCAGAGTTTTGTTGGCCCATGTAAAGATGACTGAGCCATTCTTGATGCTCACAACATTAATATTGCTCAGATTGGTGTCACCAAATACCTTAGCAATGCGTGTGGCCAGCTCAAATTTGTCAGAGAAATTGGACATGAATGTGTTGTAGTTGTAATCCACAGTTATGCCAAACTCATGGTTGGGGGTATCCTTTTTTTTATGTCCTTTCAAGTTGATTTTAACGTCCACAGACTCTGATAGTGTCTCCCCATTGATTGACTTCTCACCAATCAACTTCAGCTTGTGGTTGGGGACTTCACCAGGGAATGGAAACATTTTAATTTTCTGATTTTTCTCATCAAACATAAGGAAAGAACTGGAGGAGATGATTTCGGAAGTGTTGTTAAAAAGTTTTAAGCGCAGGCTTTGGGTCTCAGCCACCTCGCAGTCCTTAAATGTGTCTTCAGGGATTTCATATTCCTTGTAGTCACCCAATATTGCCTCCACAGTGAGGGAGCCTTTGGTTTTGAGTCTCTGGCAGTCAGGTGGTGGAGGTGGTGTAACTACAACCTTATCTGTAGGTTTACCAGTGGTGCTTGTCTTGGTTGGTTTGATGGGCAGCTTGGTTGTTTTCATGGGAGGCTGCGTGGTGATGGTTGTCTGAGTGGGCATGAGCATGGTTTGTGTGACGTCTTTAGGCTTGGGTGGTGGCTGTGGTGGTGCCAGGGTGGGCAGATCTGTTTTGTCCATGGGGGCGTACGTGGATGTGGGCTGGATGATGACAGGAGATTCCATCACTACCACCATGTGCGTCAGGGTGTCACCAACACCGGTTTGGGCGCCGGTGGTTTGGGTTTTGGTGGACATGATGGGTGTGACGGAGGGCGTGGGGGTGTTTAATGCCTGCCGTCTCTTCCTGGTTGGTGCCTGAATGTGGCTGTTGGTCACGTGCCAGCCAATGACGGGGTTGCCTAAAGCTTGAGCCATCAACCCGCTAGTTGAGTCCTCGTCCAGTTTTTGCAGGACGGGGAAATGACCGTCCTTGACCAGTCCGCAACCAACAGGCCATGAGATGAACAGACCCTGGGTCTTGGGCTCCGCGCAGTCACCCACCCCAGAGACTAACGCGGAGCTGTCGTGCATGGGGCTGTTTCCCACAGGAACCATCTTGACCATGTCCTCGTGGAGCTGCATGTGTGCCAGGAACCTCTGTAGCAGCGCCAGTCTCTCCTGGACCGGGATCTTATCAAAGTCCACGTCAATGATGATGGTGGCCACGGTCTCTGGCTCGCTCTGCTTGCAGTGGACAAACTCCGGCCCAGTTGTCTTGAACCTCAGAGGGGTGCCGGAGGTGTGGGTGGGCACATCCCTGACGAACAAGGTGAAGGTCACGGAAGCCTGGCTGGCTGACCCTTGGGCGGTGATCTCCAGGTAGAGCTGGCCAGCATCCTTAGGCGCAGGGATGCCCTGGAGGATGTTGTTGCTGGGATCAAACTCCAGCCACGCAGGTAGTGCTGAGCCATCCACAGATTTGATCTGAAAAGAAACATTGACAAAAGTTAAATCATTTTTTCATTGACAAAAGTTAAATCATTTCTTCATTGACAAAAGTTAAATCATTTCTTCATTGAGTTTTTTGAACATCATAAACTTTGTTTTATAAGCACAAGTAGATTAATTATTTTAGATTAATTATTTGACAAATTGTGATGTTTCATTCTAATATCTTACACTAAAGCTAACATTAAGTAAAATATTTTATTAAATAAAGCTACCATTATTGTTTTGACTAACAAAAGTGCTGAGGTGTATAGATGAGTCAAAGAGATGATTCTAAATGGTGAGGTAGAAAGGTGAGTTAGACTGTTCCCTTTTGACCAGCACCATGGGTTACTCTAACCAGCCTCTGATTGTGGAGAGAGGGGGGGGGGGGTGTTCTCAAGTATTGATAGCAGAATGAAATTACTGCTACAATCTAGCCCTGCTACACTGCTACAATCTAGCCCTGCTACACTGCTACAATCTAGCCCAGCTACACTGCTACAATCTAGCCCAGCTACACTGCTACAATCTAGCCCAGCTACACTGCTACAATCTAGCCCAGCTACACTGCTACAATCTAGGCAATCTACACTAGCCCTGCTACACTGCTACAATCTAGCCCAGCTACACTGCTACAATCTAGCCCAGCTACACTGCTACAATCTAGCCCAGCTACACTAGCCCAGCTACACTGCTACAATCTAGCCCAGCTACACTGCTACAATCTAGCCCAGCTACACTGCTACAATCTAGCCCAGCCACACTGCTACAATCTAGCCCAGCTACACTGCTACAATCTAGCCCAGCTACACTGCTACAATCTAGGCCAGCTACACTAGCCCTGCTACACTGCTACAATCTAGCCCAGCTACACTGCTACAATCTAGCCCTGCTACACTGCTACAATCTAGCCCAGCTACACTGCTACAATCTAGGCCAGCTACACTAGCCCTGCTACACTGCTACAATCTAGCCCAGCTACACTGCTACAATCTAGCCCTGCTACACTGCTACAATCTAGCCCAGCTACACTGCTACAATCTAGCCCAGCTACACTAGCCCAGCTACACTGCTACAATCTAGCCCAGCTACACTGCTACAATCTAGCCCAGCTACACTGCTACAATCTAGCCCAGCTACACTGCTACAATCTAGCCCAGCTACACTGCTACAATCTAGCCCAGCTACACTGCTACAATCTAGCCCAGCTACACTGCTACAATCTAGCCCAGCTACACTGCTACAATCTAGCCCAGCTACACTGCTACAATCTAGCCCAGCTACACTGCTACAATCTAGCCCAGCTACACTGCTACAATCTAGCCCAGCTACACTGCTACAATCTAGGCCAGCTACACTAGCCCTGCTACACTGCTACAATCTAGCCCAGCTACACTGCTACAATCTAGCCCAGCTACACTGCTACAATCTAGCCCAGCTACACTAGCCCAGCTACACTGCTACAATCTAGCCCAGCTACACTGCTACAATCTAGCCCAGCTACACTGCTACAATCTAGCCCAGCCACACTTCTACAATCTAGCCCAGCTACACTGCTACAATCTAGCCCAGCTACACTGCTACAATCTAGGCCAGCTACACTAGCCCTGCTACACTGCTACAATCTAGCCCAGCTACACTGCTACAATCTAGCCCTGCTACACTGCTACAATCTAGCCCAGCTACACTGCTACAATCTAGCCCAGCTACACTAGCCCAGCTACACTGCTACAATCTAGCCCAGCTACACTGCTACAATCTAGCCCAGCTACACTGCTACAATCTAGGCCAGCTACACTAGCCCTGCTACACTGCTACAATCTAGCCCAGCTACACTGCTACAATCTAGCCCAGCTACACTAGCCCAGCTACACTAGCCCAGCTACACTGCTACAATCTAGCCCAGCTACACTGCTACAATCTAGGCCAGCTACACTAGCCCTGCTACACTGCTACAATCTAGCCCAGCTACACTGCTACAATCTAGCCCAGCTACACTGCTACAATCTAGGCCAGCTACACTAGCCCTGCTACACTGCTACAATCTAGCCCAGCTACACTGCTACAATCTAGCCCAGCTACACTGCTACAATCTAGCCCAGCTACACTGCTACAATCTAGCCCAGCTACACTGCTACAATCTAGGCCAGCTACACTAGCCCTGCTACACTGCTACAATCTAGCCCAGCTACACTGCTACCATCTAGCTCAGCTACACTGCTACAACCTAGCCCAGCTACAACCTAGCCCAGCTACACAGCTATCGTCTAGAGTGTTAGATGTACAAAAAGAATTGACAGTAGCGCACACCTTGCATGGGAAACTTAGATGTGTCTCGTTTGTGATCGTCTATCAATTGAAGGTTTTCGGGTAAATCCGATGTAAGATCCTAAATTTAGATCTCTTTAGAGTACGGTGTGAATCGCTGTGTTAGGCGGGCTTAGAATCTTGACACCTGTGCATGTCGCGGCTACAGGACAATTAGTTGGTGCTTCGATCCTTGGCTTTAGTAGGTGTTATACGGCCACATGTAGGGCGAGGGAAGGGCGCTACAGTGGGGGATCATTTTCTATGGAACAGAATGTGTGGGTCGATTACTGTGGTACTGAACGGTTGATGGGGACTTGAAAAACATGGTCAGACTACAACGGTGATACGCCGATAGGTGAGACACCGATAGGTGATACGCGGGGACATGCTGGATTGGTAACACAGCATGGTAAAACACCGACGTGGTGACACGCTGACAAGGTGACACGCGGACAAGGTGACACCGACGTGGTGATACGGGTACACAGACAAACTGACACACCACCACTGTAACACAGAGAAACATCTCTCTACACGGCTGAGGCTAAGAAGTAAATCGATGGTCAGCAGTTTAGTTCAAAGCTAGAAGAGTGTGATAGGGTTGATCTATACCCCTGTGTTGATTAGTCTAGTACTACAGTGTGTAGATTGGTCTTTTAGTCTACAGTGGCAGGTCATACTTGCTCGTGACGGGGACTCGGTAACTTTGACTGTGTCATACCAAAAAGTCCCGACCCGATATATGAACACCGTCATTACAATATGGAGGCCGAGTGGAGGGCTGTGTGGGGGTCGTATGTTTGACCACGTTTCAACCCACTCACAACACTGGGAAGGGGGTTACTGTCAGCTGGCCTGTAAAGGTGTGAGGGGGGGGGGGGGGTCGTATATGTGTACACAAGAAACTGTACGTCGCCATAATGTGTGTGTGTGGGGGGTGTGGTATGTGTGAGATCACGGTCAACCACTATGTGACCCACATCACCATAATGTGTGGGGGTGTGTGGTATGTGTGAGACCACTATGTGACCCACATCACCATAATGTGTGGGGGTTGTGTGTCATGTGTGAAACCACTGTTACCCACATCACCATAATGTGTGGGGGTTGTGTGTCATATGTGTGAAACCACTGTTACCCACACCACCATTATGTGGGGGTGTGTGTGGTATGTGTGAGACCACTATGTTACCCACACCACCACAAGTGGGAGTATCACGAGACTAATGCCCGCCCCGCTATTGTGGGCACCTCATTATGTTAAACAGATGCAAACTAAAGTAAACAATGCAGGATCGGTGAACACGCGTCATCAGACAGGTTAGGTGGGGTGTGGAGGGGTGGGGTGGGGTGGGCTGCAGAATTTTGGCAAGGAATGTGAACACACGGGTGGATTAGATGACGTCATGTTAACAAAAGGTTAATGGGGGGGGGGGCATTGATCCTATGATAAGAGATTTCCCTTATAACTATGTTTTACTGTTAGTCTAAGTGAGAAATAGTAAGGTTAGGTTTAGAGTTTAGAGTGAGGTATAGGGCTAGTAAAACAGTAAGATATCAATTGTGATATAGGCCCTATTGGGTTGGATTTTTTTTACATTTACCCGTTCAAAACTATCAAATTATCTTAAATTGGCAGGGAAAATTCTGATCATTGACGACACCAAGTCCGATAATGATCTTCCAAAAATAGGTTTGTTTGGTTGTTGGCAGTATTGTAATCTCAACTAGTTTTATGGTTAGAAGTAATAGGCGTATGGTAGGACTAGGGATAAAGTTAGCAGTGATATTAGCAAGTCATATGCGCATTTAGTTAACTACCACTAACCTAACACCCCCATTTTAAAAATATTCTATTATTGTGCCATTATTGGACACTGGTATAAAAAAAATTCCCCCCAAAAGTTCAATCTATTTATAGCACGAGTACTCACCGTATACGAAGTGACGTCACCGCTGAAAGCGTCGCTTGGAATGTGCATGCGAAACATGCGGCCCACGGTGGCCGTCCCGTCGGCGACGCCCCATTTCACGGCCACGCCTTCCTGCTGGGCCGAGGTCAACACTGCCAAACTGACCACCACTAAACTCCACACAACAGAAAAACTCGCCATTTCTTGAAAAAAAAAACTTGATGTACTGAAATAATTTTAACTCCCGTTTAAATCATCAGTATCCACAGTTAGATGGGAGAATAAATCCACAAAAATCCAATATCCGAGGCGAGATGGAGGGATTAAAAGCACCAGATGGTCGAGATTATGTGACGGGCGAACGTGGCGAGGGCTGTGTTCCCCTCAGTGCCAGTGTCACTACAGCCGGGCTGTATTGTTGTCTGAGTTGCCAGTTAGTACAGCCGACGGTCCCACGTGTTTGGGCCAGGTAAACACAGGTAAAAATAACACAGGTAAAAAAAACACACACGGGGCCCGCTCCACACGGAGAAAGATATCAGCCGGTTAGAAGACAGAGGGTTGAAACACGACGTCACGGTCTAGTTCGTCGAGAGATAGGCCCGGTCGGAATTCATTCACACGAGTCACTGGGTTTTCATTCAGGATGGAATTTCTAGCGTCGCAGTGGAGAACTGAGATCCTGCAGGCTAAGTCTGCGAGCCCTGATCCTACTCAACTCGTCTCGTGAGTCAGCCCTCGGCCTGTCCTCGTCTACACGGTTGATCACACAGCCTGCAACAAAGAAATAATTTTATATTTAGTTTAATCACTAGACGAACTAAAACGTCGCTACTACGGTAATCACGTGGTCCATAATTTGAAAAATACTACAATCTTCTGTTAGCTAAATATGCTGAATTAAACAAAAAAGGCGGTTAGTTCGCGATATTAAAATCAACAATACCATACACGTCTAAATTCGGATAACGATGCGGGAAGCTGAGAAATAAGTGGGACGTCATTAATTACGGTGTTTAATAACGGTACGTCATGTCTAGTGCCTTTCCGTGTTAACGTGGGGTGTACCGTCGTGCTTCGATCTAATCTTCCACACACGAACCTATCCTACAAAAACCTCTCTTTTAACAACCTATCCTAAACAATCCCCGTACCTATCCCAGACCCCTACCTGCTTTCCCTGGCATGTGAACATTTACCCCCCCCCCCCCCCCTCCCCAGACCATTCCTTCACTTCTCGTCCAGTCAACTGTGACCTCCAGCCCCATGACCCCTGACCTGACCGCCGACACGGTCCCCTGGACATGTGCTTAAATTTATTACAATGACCTTAACCACCCAAGGACCTACTGTAGATATGTCCTTCAGGGGCAGATAACCCATCCTTTACAACCACCGGGACTCCCCCCCCCCTCCATTTTAACAACATACACCGTGGCGGCCATGTTTGTAAGGAGAGGAACTTTGTTTTTTCTGTTCCCCATCTATTAGCCAACCCAACAGTCGATGGCATGACCTAGATATGGCCGTATTCCACTCGCCTGGCCTACTCAATGCCCAGACAATCACATCGCTCACGGCTAAATATAGAGGCCCTCTCGTGGACTCTGTTAAACGAGAGTTGACGTGTGGTGTGCGCGGGAACAAGTGGCTAGTCACGTGATCTGTAGTCTCGTAGTTTTACACGGGAGCAGAGTTTTTAAATCTTCTGACAAGTTGACTTCCGGTAAGTCTTGGACTCTCTCCCCCCCCCCCCCTTTTACACAACATATACTGCCATAATTTAAATACTTAAGTCTATTCTGTGTATGTAATTCTTAATCACAGAGAAAGCAACCATAGGCGTCACTGAGGATAGGGGATGAGTGAACAAGAGAACTGATGGTGAACTACCACCAGACCAGACACGCCTAGAACATTCACGTAACACAATCCATGCATGGTGTCCATCATTGCCCCCCCCCCCCCGTATACAAAGTTCCTGATGTGTCGCTAAAGTTTACTTTTACAATACCTGGCTAATGACTGTTTCAATAAATGCGTGAGGGGTGGATGGAATGGGATCTGTTTGTGTAGGCCTACAGTCGGAACGTGAGTACACAATGGAGGGGTTTGTGTGTGTTGTTGGTAGTGGGTGTGTGGGGGAACGGTGTGTGGGGGGACGGTGTGTGGGTATGTTGGTATAGAGAGAATACTGGGTTAGTGTGTGGGTGGGGTGTGTGGGCACAGGTGGGTTCTGGTGGTGGGTGTATGATGTAGGCGCCGAGTTAGTGTGGGTGGTGGTGAAAGTGAGGGCACATGGTGAGTGGATAGTGTGGGAACAGTGAGGGCACATTGTGTGGGAACAGTATGGGCATATGAGTGTACTAGGTCTGTGTATGTCTAAAACTTCACGTAGATATATACACCAGCGGGGGGAGCCAATTACCCAATCTAAACACGTCTGATGCCCGGCTCCACCTCTGTACATTTATAAACAGTCCTCTACTATCGCCCTTTCAATCCAAACCTTTTTTTTTTCTCGCATTGTCTGAGCCAAATTTTTTTCCATGGACTATTTTATGTGTATACCCCCGGCTGTTTTTAACAGATGGCTTACCCGAACATAAATTACCGAGAGTGGACTTAGACGGGGGGGGGGGGGGGGGGGGGGGTAGGGGGGTCAATCTGGAGATAAATTCAGACGACACCGCGGGAGGGGGGCGCTATGCCAGGTATTCAGGTCAAAGATAAGACGGTCGCTTCATCGTTTTGTTCTCAGGCCATTACGTTTCTTCCTTTTGTTTCACCTAGCAACTGCCCGGCAACACGTACCTGGCCAGTGTAGGCCTGCCACTTTGATAGATGAAAGCTTTTTACATTGGCGGTACTGAGTCAGGGTTCATCTTGGGACTGATACGACTACTGAACAATGCTTGTAGACAATAGACATGTCTGCACTCATTACAATTAATTACATTTTAATTTATTACCTAAATAGTTGGAAAAAAAACCCACTGGTGTAAGTTACTATCTTTAAAGAAAAGTGAAGTAGAAAGGTGTAGCTGTGACAGTATGAACCATTGACACGTGTGTCGCTGATAGACGAACCTTGTCTCGCGATGTATGCTGGGTAGCACAAGGGTTGGTAGCACTGGATAGCACATGAGTTGGTAGCACTGGATAGCACAAGGTTGGGTAGCACAAGGTTGGGTAGCACAAGGCTGGGTAGCACAAGGGTTGGGTGGCACAATGTTGGGTAGCACAAGGGTTGGATAGCACAAGGGTTGGTAGCACTGGGTAGCACAAGGGTTGGGTAGCACAAGGCTGGGTAGCGCTGGGTAGCACAAGATGCGTGTTTATCAGGCGACAAAGCCGTTCTTGTCTAAAGCTATTTGAACACAAACTTTAAAGACGAGCTATAAAAACACGGAGGTACTGGAGAAACTGGGTAGACATGAACTAAAAGGTGAGGAGGGGTGGAGCTATTACCTGTAAGCTATTTTTGGAACCAGTAGGGGGGGGGGGGGGCAGTAAACATAGCTGGGACGACGATCCATATATATTGTGATGTTTGTGAAATCCGGTAATACAAGTACTAAGTGAATAGGTGTGTTGAAAATGTAAGGTTTGGCCTTAAAACAATTATCAAGTTTATATATGTGTTTGATAATGTAAGGTTTGGCTTTAAAAACAATTACTAACTTTATAGGTGTGTTTGTAAATGTAAGGTTTGGCTATAAAACAATTATCAAGTTTATAGGTGTGTTTGTAAATGTAAGGTTCGGTCTTAAAACAATCACTAAGTTTATAGGTGTGTTTGTAAATGTAAGGTTCGGTCTTAAAACAATCACTAAGTTTATAGGTGTGTTTGTAAATGTAAGGTTTGGCTATAAAACAATTAGGGCCTACTAAGTTTATAGGTGTGTTTGTAAAAGTAAGGTTCGGTCTTAAAACAATTACTAAGTTTATAGGTGTGTTTGAATTCAAGGTTCGGCTTTAATGACGCAGGTAAACACAAGTAGGCCGTATGTGTGAGAAGTGCTGGCAGTCTATAGGTGAGGTTGTGACAGGGTCAAGCACCTAGGCTGACATGTTTAGAAAGGGCCGTCTTTGCTGGTTCTTAAGTTACATAGGGCAGGGGTAGCCTATAGGGGCTTACCGTGTTATACAAGGTGTAGGGGGTTGTCGTGTTATACAAGCAATAGGGGCTTATCGTCATATACAAGATCTAGTGGTTTGCCGTGTTATACAAGGTATAGGACTTGCTGTCTTATTGAGGGTATAAAGGCTTGCCGTGTATCATGGGGTAGCTACTGCAGTGTTGTCAACGTTGATGTATGCCATATATTTGCTATTTCCCATTCTGAATCATTGCTATCTAAAAAAACACACACAAAAAGTGACTATCAAGTTAACAGTGAAATGACCACTATAATCAACAGTGAAATGACCACTATAATCAACAGTGAAATGACCACTATAATCAACAGTGAAATGACCACTATCAACTGTCAAATGATCACTATAATCAACAGTGAAATGACCACTATAATCAACAGTGAAATGACCACTACAATCAACAGTGAAATGACCACTACAATCAAAAGTGAAATGACCACTACAATCAAAAGTGAAATGATCACTATAATCAACAGTGAAATGACCACTATAATCAACAGTGAAATGACCACTACAATCAACAGTGAAATGACCACTACAATCAAAAGTGAAATGACCACTACAATCAAAAGTGAAATGATCACTACAATCAAAAGTGAAATGACCACTACAATCAAAAGTGAAATGATCACTACAATCAAAAGTGAAATGACCACTACAATCAAAAGTGAAATGACCACTACAATCAAAAGTGAAATGATCACTACAATCAAAAGTGAAATGACCACTACAATCAAAAGTGAAATGACCACTATCACCAAGTCAACAGTTAACAGGCGTCACCAATGCCTACAATCGTCTGCGTGGGTGTGTGTGTGTGGGGGGGGGGTGAGTTAACCGTATCTTTACATTCAATTACCGGCGTTGTTTAACGGTATCATGATGAATGGCCCCCACTTCAAATGGTCGAAATAAATGACCCCATGACCTCCGTAGATAAATTTTACCAACTAATCAACAACACTCGTTTCACGGTTCTCTTGCGCTTTTTGTTGTAATCATAGCTCAGGGGATTACGTCCCTCGGGGACTCGCCACGGCCCGGCCGGCCGGCTGGCTGGCGGCGATTGGCTGGATTAGGTCACGAGTCGTAGAGCGATCAACGACGGAGCCGAGAGTTGGGCGAGTGGGTGACCACCATTATGGAATTATTCATTACCCGTCCGCTGGGGGGGGGGGGGGGGGGGGGGGGGTGTATGGCGAGGAGGGGACGCACACGGTATTGATTACACGGTTCTCATTAAGGGAGAATTTGTACTAGGTTATCTAATGAACTGCGCAATATCAGTCAATCGCAAAATTTTACATATCAAGCATATTTTACTCACATAAAAAACTTTAGCTTGACTTGGAAAAGTGTGTATGTAGATATATGCATATACGACATTACGTATTATGTTAGTCATTAAGTGTTACATTACTATGTCAGCCATTATGTATGTCAGCCATTATGCATATGATAGCCATTATGTACATGTTAGCTTATTCTTCGTTCTTAATTTTAGTGTTGGAAGGGATCCCCTCCAGCACAATTAAGTATACGTGTCAACTTGTTATGCGCCATTGAGGCCATTGACTCCAATTTCAGCCTGCTTTTCTTTTTGGATTTGCTTC